AAGAAATTTCTTTCCCCAGTGTTCCAGCACAGGAAGTTGTACCATTCTGGCTAGGCCAACTACTCCCATTACATTCGCCTGCGTAATCTCCACTTGGCCGGTATAGGCATACTGGATGACGGCAGTAGCTATGCTAGACAATGCATAAGTTGAATAGACGAGCAAATGTCAGGTTTACCTTTGGGGCACCGTTGGCCACCTAAGGACTGAGTTATTACTCCGCAGGGGGCCGAGGTCTCCCAACGCGGGTATGCGAGCGGCTAGCATGAGTCTGTGAACATGCAGACGACCTCCGTGTTTCACCTATTACACAACGAGAGCTGTTTTGAGAACAGTTGCAGTAGGTTGATTTACCTCGATGGTAAGATCTGTAAGCTCTTCAGCTAGGCGAAGCTCATTTAGGGCTCGGCAGCTGCGGATCAGGGGAAGTTCGTCTTCAAAAAATTGGGCCTGCGAGTCGGACATCTCTGGGATAGTGGAAACGAAGAATAACCCTGACACTGTTTGACGCTATATTTACAGAATCCATCTGCCTTGCCAATTGCACAGACACAAACCTGCTGGCTCTGATTGTCGAGCGATAATTAGACGGATTCGATTGGTTAGTAAACAACGCACTTACGATGTCGAGTCAACGTAGCGCACTTTTATTGGTAACGAAAGCCTGGCAGTTCGATCGGCTTGGGTGCCAAAAGTGGCGTAGGTTGACTTTGAAATTATTTGTTGCGCGCACTGCCAAATGGCAAAAACAGAGGGCAGAAATTAAGAAATATGCAATGGGTTTTGATTTAGTGAAGTTTAGAAAGAACGTGAAACCCCGTAGTTTACATAGGAAACAGAAAAAAAACTGATCTCATTTTTCCCTCACAGATTAACTTGACTGTTGAATCAGACAAACAATTTACAGTAGACGCCGAAGATCACACAACATTTCGATATATGCGAAAGGCTGATACTCTTTCGCTCATCGGCATTGACTCAAGTTGTGATACTGATTATCGTGTAGTCTATTGTGAAGTCATTTCAGTCATGGTAGGATACGGGCATTTTAACGAGCGTCGTTCTGACTACTGGCAAAACGTATCTATTGTAAAAATCTGGCTTCTTATGTAGTATGTTGATGAAAGACCTGTGCATTAAGTGATCATAAGTTGCCAGCAAATATTGTACAGGTTTTGGTGAACAAATGCCCAAATTGATACATAACATTACCAAAATATTCAGGGTCTCAAGATCAAGCCTTTTCCTGTTTACGCTGGATTGTCCTTGCATCTAGGCTGTAACCAACATTTAATCTTGAATACGAAAGATTAGCAATAGAGGAGAATATCCGAGTTCCAGGAAGTAGTTCAGAAGAAGAAGAAGA